CGGGTCGGGTTATTCGCCCGTCGGGGATTCAAACGAACAGCCCTTCCGGTCCGGTTCCAAGAAAGTCGGGCGGAAAAAGAGTCTGGTCGCGCACTTGAAACGCTCAGCACCGCAGACCATTGACGAGGAGGAGTATGACTTGTCGCTTCTGGGTTCGGCAGCGCCTATGGGGTCTGCAGCCGTGCAGCACGACACCATCCACGAGGAGCAGGGCGCTGTTTTCGACCTCACGGCGTCGCTAGGCCCGATGAGCCCCCATGACGAGGCGTTCGTCCAGATGCTTCAGAAGCAGGAGGCCCAGGGGCAGCTCACGGGCGGGATTGGCGAGGGCTTCAAGCCCGAGGTCGTCGTCCGGGACACGGAGCTTCTGCCCCAGACGACCACAGCCCAGCGCAGCTTCTCCCAGTCGTTCTCCAGTAGGATGAGCCGAATGACGAGCAGGCGACTTGGCCGGTCCGAAAGCATTAAGGCTGCGGGCCAGGACCGCGCCAACAAGCGGGGGGAAGTCATACAAGTCATCATGGAGGAAGACGGCGCTGGAGATGGAGACGGAGACGGAGCTGTGGCCGGAGCCGACTTGAGCTCCATGGAGGGGCCGATAGGGATAGCACCAGTTGACTCCCGCCGATCTACTCTCTATGATCAAAACGGACAGACTCGGGTGTTTTATCCGCAGCCGAATTGGAAGCCATTTCCGATGTGCTGGCCGTGGTTGATGATGCTGGTGTTCCTCTCGGTAGGCCTTGCCGCTATGCAAGAGGTGCTCTACCAGAAGTACAACAAATCCAACCCTCTAGTCAGCTTCGACTCCCCTGAAAAGGTCCCGGGCTGGCTCTACATTATGATTAAGTTTGGGCCCACACTGATAGCAGTTATTTATGGCGTTCTGTGGCAATTCACAGACTTTGAAGTGAGGCGATTGGAGGCATACTATCAAATGTCCAAGCCAGAGGGCGCATTGGCAGCCGAATCTATTAATGTAGATTACGTGACGAGTTTCAGCTTCTGGCGCCCATTTCGTGCTCTCAAAGTTGGCCACTACGCAGTCGCGTTGTCGTCGGTGTCGGCTACGTTTGCTGCCTCGCTGGTGCCGACCTTTGCTTCAGCCTCGCTGGTCCTGACTCCTGATCGGCGTGAACGCATGGCTCACCCTGAAGCAGAGAAGATAATCGCCTTTTCGCCGGTTTGGTCGCGACTTCTCACATCGGTTCTCGGCGTCTGTGCAGTCGGTGCTTGTACACTCTTCTACATACTCCAAAGGCGACGATCAGGCTTGAGCGCGGATGTCCAGGGAATCGCGGGTTTGGCATCCATGGCTGTCGTGAGCCATATTTTGATGGATTTCAAGGACATGGACACTGCAACCCCGAAGGATATACATCATAAACTTAAGCATCACAGATATATTCTTCGCAACTCATCTCTTGCTCCGGATGTTGATAATCCTCCGAGCAGCCAGGAGAGAGACAAATATCGAGATATTCATCTCTCCAACAACCCCCACCCTCTGAGCCTTCGCCCGGCAGGGGGTGTCCCTTTCATCATCGGCCTGTTGCTCTTCATGGGATTTGTTCCTGCTTTCTTGTTCTCGGCTGCTGATATAGTTACGGATAAAGCCCCCTGGGCTGTCACTGCATTGGCCGTCTGTCTCAAGTTATCATGGAATGCCATGGACACGGCAGTTCGCATGATGGAACCTTATTATATACTCTCACGACGACACGCGCACCCTAAAACCCTGACTTTGGATTATACAGCCTTACCCTTCGGATACCTCCCGTTGAGGGCATTGTTCAACGGCCATTTGCTCATGTTCTTCGTGGGAAGTGGCTCCGTCATGGCTGAGTTCTTGACAGTCCTGGTGACTGGTCTGGCAACGGTCGATGGCAAGGGCTTCTTGTACGGAATGATGACTTCGGGTCGGGAGGAGGCCGTCAAGAGCGGTCTAGAAACCATCCGCTCGTTCTACTTCCTGTTCGGCCTGACAATGTTCACCCTGCTCTACATGACCATTGTCGCGACAATCGTCTTCGTACGCAGGCGGCACCCCTTCCTCCCCCGACAGCCCAACACCATCGCGTCCACACTGGCTTTCATCCACCAGAGCAAGATGCTGTACACGTTCGTGGGCACGTCGAAGTTTAGCGCTGCGCAAATGGCCAAGAAGCTCGACACCGATGTGACGTACGGGCTGGGCTGGTTCATCGGGAGAGACGGGCAGACGCACTGCGGCGTGGACCAGGAGGAGCTGCTGACGAATTACAAGCACGGGGTGGACGTGTCTAAGAGAAACGAGCCGTGGAATACACAGTGGGATGTCCTATGATCTTATGAAGCTTGTTGGGATTGCCTTTGGGCTTTTCCTTATCTAATGACGGCATTCGGAATATTGCATGAGGCTTTGGGATTGCATTTGGGATTTCTTATCACGGCCTCATAGACGATACATCAAGCATTGCATTGTAGAGTAGTTTCTAGACCAAAATCTGCTTAAGATGTTTGCAGTTGAGATGATCGGACCAGGCACATCTATGTACGGGCTAGTTTGCATGGGTAAGGTCAGGTTAGGTCTTAACCATAACTTGGGTATGGAATAGAAACAAGGAGATAAACTCTTGAGCGATTTGATGGGATTTACGGTGTGCATAACTACATTTGCGGATGAACTCAATTATGTCTCAGAAGACATGCCAGTTGACGTATGCCAGGAATTCAGAGCCATTGTCTAATGAGACGCAGCTGTGCATTGATTGGTTGGTAGCGAGTTGGTAGTTGGAGGTGCAAGCTTTCGAAGGAGGGATACTAGGAAGGCAATTGATTGGCGGGTGGGTGTCGTGCTAGGAAATGACTGGATCGCACAGCGCGTTTACCATGCAAAACTCCACACCGTCGACGATGGTGTCTACCGCTTCCAAATAGAAAGATGAGCCGACTATCCCGACATTGTTGCGTTTTGGAGGCGCGCGTTCATGAGCGAACTTTGGTCTCTGGTTGACAAAGGATCGGCTTGAACAAGGAAGCTGGCCTAGCCGGTAGGATTGCTTCATGTAGTAATATCATTCGCTTTGTTCGGGGTGGAACCCTGCTCGGACTGTCTGTAGAATGAAGGGATGGAGGCAGTGCAAAACCACCGCACCGCACGTTCGCTTGGCTTTGTATTAGGTATGAGTGACAGCCGCTGGACTCATTACCCGCCTGACGGTGGGTATGAAGACCTGCATTAACCATGGAGGCCATAGTGTAGCGCCCATGTCAGAGGTTTTTGGCCCGTACCCACCGCCCATCGCATTCGTCCCATCATCTCCCCCGGCCCACGGGTCTTTTTCTGCTGTCACACGTTTCCCGCCCGTCGTGATTCCCACGATCCATCTAATTTTCGCCAGATGCACGAGACTGGGACCGCTTTTCCGTATTTTTAGGACCGGAGGGGCTGTTGCGGTGATTGATCTTCGTGTTTGGGCCAGGGGGGCCAACGGCGTATGGAAGCAAAGAGTGGGACGGGAGAGGGAGGGAGGGGGGGTTGGAAGGCGCCCAGAACAAACAATCAAACAGCGTACAAAGTGGATGGCCATTGGAATTGAGGCCCTGCGCGGCAAGTCTTGGGTGCGCATTATCGGTTTCGTTTCCTGGGGCGGCACACATGCGGCGCGCGCGTGCACTACGTAATCTATGGTGGACGACGACGAGAGCTCTGGCTAGACTGCTAGCTCGGGCGACTAATTGCCAATAAACATGTATAGGGCTCATCGACCCGGATGGACTGGAATCTCGCACGTCAACGTGCATCTGCGTATTGGAGGTGCGAGCTGTTTATTGGCCTGGGGGTTCCCTCTGTTGTTGTCTTTGGTTGCCCTCCAGCGACGGCCAGAAAAGGGAAACACGAGGGAGGCGGTGACTCGATCACGATAGCCGAGCTCGTGAGAGAAGCCGGACACGAAGGGCTGCTCGCTTTCCAACACCTGGATCATCAAATACGCGGGCCACCCAACCACCACCTAGAATTGATTTGGCGACCGCAAACGACTCAACTGGGCTTGAGCGGGCCTCTTCCAAGCATTAGTCTGCGCTGACTGAATGGGTTAGTTAGCCAGGCGAATTAGCAGAGGTAGAGCAATAAATTCCTGGCCCAAGCCTGAGAGAGCAGGACCTGGCAGTCAGGGGTAGCAGAAGGGGGGCCAGCAAGTAGATTTGTTAGGCCAGATACGAGATCGTCGCGCCCGGGCTGCCAAGAGTACATGCCACCCCCCTTAATCTTGGCGCAAAGCTTGGGTACTGCACTGCCACCCGGATCATGCGCGCAACGAGCTGGTACCAAGACACTAACGTAGGTGACCAGCCGCCATGTGCCCAAACAGGCTGGGAAGGTGCATTCCTGGTCTCTCACACCCCCCAATCATTGCCGCCGGGTCAGGGCCACAGCAGGTTGGTCGACTGACTTTACCCCTTTGCTTCCGCTTGGCTGCATTCATTTCATCACAACGCCAGTTCCTCCACCCAAACCTTGCTTTTCCATCCATCCACTGCCCTTTTGATGTGATCACAACCTGCCACCACCCATTCACATCGGGCTAATCACGGGAGCGTCTTTTTTTCCTCGACCTCTCACCACTCGCTTTTGTCCAGCTTCTCCTTCAGCTTTGCCGGCACAACTTCCTCTGCCTTTCGTTTTACTCAACCTTCCGACCACCGAACTGCCGCGCCATCCACCTCCTCGTTTTGCCCTCGGGCGTATTCCTCTCGCTCGCTATTCGCATTCCAGTCGTTGCTCTCGACCCAGGTCTTCCCCGATCAACCTCCCAACGCATCCGCCATCGACATCAACATAAATCTCGTCGCATGAACGAATAATAGCCAAACGATAGAGTCAACTGATCGCACCGAGTTCCCTTGGAAGATAAGATTCCGATCACACTTCGCCTTCTGAATCGTCAACGACAGCTACGCGACCCGTCAGAATGCGTTGGTCAATTGGCCAAACCCTCCTCTCCGCGGCAGCGACCATGTTTACGGTCGCTGCCGCAGAGCGAGCCTTGATGTCTCAATCTCTGAACATTTGCCAGGACGACTCTATGTTTTCCGCGTCTCTGTTCGACGTCAAGTACACACCCGGAGACAACAAGGCCAACTTCGCCCTGACGGCCACTTCCTCGGTCCAGGGAAAGGTTACCTTCGACATCTCGATCACAGCCTATGGTTACAAGTTTCTTGAGCAAACAATTGACCCCTGTAAGATCGACCTCGGTGGTCTTTGCCCAATGAACACGGGTCCCTTGGAGTTTGAGCACGCGCTCAACGTCCCCGGTGATGCCGCCAGCCAGATTCCTGGCATCGCATACACGGTTCCCGACATCGACGCCAAGGTTCGTGTTTACATCAATCTTACTGGTCAGGTCGACAGTATCGCATGTGTCGAAGCCGACTTCTCCAACGGAAAGACTGTCGACTTGTTGGGAGTCAAGTGGGCGACCGCCATCATCGCTGGTCTTGGACTCATTTCCTCCGCTATTGTTTCGGGTCTCGGCCACTCCAACACTGCTTCCCACATCGCCGCCAACTCTCTGTCTCTTTTCGCCTACTTCCAAGGTCAGGCCATCGTTGGTCTGACAGCCGTTCCCCTCCCCCCCATTGTTCAGTCATGGACCCAGAACTTCCAGTGGTCCATGGGTATCATCAATGTGGGCTTCATGCAGACCATCTTCACTTGGTATCAGCGTGCTACTGGCGGTGACCCTGGAACTCTTTTCGACAACCTCGGCACCAAGTCCGTCCAGGTCGAGAAGAGAGCTCTCGCCCTCAGGAGCATTGGATCCGGCAGTGAATCTGTCAACTTGTTCAATCGTGCAGCTGCCATGATGCCCAGGAGTCTGCCAACGTACTCTACTTTGGCTAAGCGTGCAAACATTGTGACAGAGTCTGGTGGTTATCTTGTGTACGGAATCCAGCGTGTGGCCTACAGAACCAAGATCGAGACCACCAACCTGTTCTTGACTGGACTGGTCTTCTTCATCCTTTTCGTTGTCTTCACTATTCTGATTGTTGCCGCGTTCAAGGGTATTCTTGAGCTGTGTGCTAAGAGAAAAGTGATTAATGGTGAGAAGTTTGCCGAGTTCCGCAACGGCTGGCTCACCATTCTCAAGGGTATCCTGTTCCGTGCCACTCTGATTGGATTCCCCCAGATGTGCATTCTCTGCACCTGGGAGTTCACCCAGAAAGACTCACCCGCTCTAGTGGTTCTTGCCGTCTTCTTCCTGCTCGGTATGATGGGAACCCTGGGCTGGGGCTCTTTCAAGGTCATTAGCATTGCTCGACGATCTGTTGCCATGCACCGCAACCCGGCCTACATTCTCTTCTCAGACCCCCAGGCTTTGAACAAGTGGGGTTTCCTGTACATCCAGTACCGCGCTTCTGCCTACTACTTCGTTGTCCCAACCCTGGTTTACACTTTCATCAAGGCCTTGTTCGTCTCTCTCGCTCAGGGCAGTGGTATTGCCCAGGCGGTTGGCTTCATCATCATTGAAGCTGGTGCTTTGATCGCAGCCTCTGTTCTCCGCCCCTGGATGGACAAGAGCACCAATTCGTTCAACATTTCCATCTGTGCTGTCAACTTTGTCAACTCTATCTTCCTTCTGCTCTACACCAACGTTTTTGGCGCTCCTGCACTCGTGGTTGGTGTTGTCGGTGTCATTTTCTTCGTTCTTAATGCCATCTTTGCCCTCGTGCTGCTTCTGATGATCATCATCTCGACCACTCTCGTCTTCTTCCGCAAGAACCCTGATGCTCGCTACCAGTTCATGGCCGATGACCGTGCATCGTTCATGAAGTCTCAGTCACAGCTGAACACCACCACCGAGCTGGACGCTCTTGCTGCGACGGCACGTGGTGACAAGAGTGGCTACAAGTCCCACATGGACCTGGATGACGACGAGTCTCTGTCTGCCACAAGCATGCGTCGACGAACGGATCAGTCCCAGATGGACATGCGTGCGGGCGCTAGGTCTCCCGTGAACCCTTCAATGCCTCTGTTCCCAGCGGCACGACCGGAGAGTCCTTTCCGATCCGCATCACCAAGCCCCTACAATGCTTCGGCAACATCATTGGGTCAAGCCAGGACACAGCACACTGCTAGCCCAGCATCATTCAGGCAACAAAACAATGCAAGGTAATACATTCAGCATCTCCTAATTCACAATTATGAAGCTGACCATCTTAATAGCCCCTGGCAACGTGGAGCTGGCTACGACCACTAGGTAGTGTTCGTACTTGAGAAATGACCAAATGTTTTGTATCAATTTTTGACGACTACCCGTGGCCCACGCAGCTCGCTACAGACATGTACCTCAGAAAAGAGGTTAGCTCAACTGAGTTCAATGTCGACGGCGTTGACAACTACAGTTGGTCTAGTCGGAACTGGCGAGCTATAAAAGCCCAGAAATGGGTTCTGTTGGCTTGGTGCCAGTCGCCACCTTCACCTACCGAGTGGCGTGGGACCTTCTTTGAATTTCCCAATCTTGTTTTTCGTCTATTACCCCTGATCCCGGTGGTTTTTGTTCGGGCAGGGTTTTCAAGCATGGGAGTGGCGTCTGCGATGACACTGGCGTTAGTGAAGCAAATAAAGGCTTTGACTTGTTTAGTCGGCTCCGGAAGCTGTTTAGTATAGAGTACCGGACACACAGGATTCCATCCTCAACAACACACACATTTTTCTCCTTGATTTAAAACCATAAATGGTGGCGGAGAGAATATCGGGGTGAACGATACCTTATCAGTGGATCTTATCTTTCTTTTGGATGCATTTTCCTTGGCTCTTGTTTTTTTCTCCTTCCTGGCTTGCGTGACCCGTCTTGCCAACTTGTAACCGTGATTCCTTTGCCTACGTACTGTATCTAGGGCTGGTTTCTATGGGCTTACTACTACTTCCTAGTGGCCTATTCTGAGAGTACAGGTTCATGGGGAAAATATAAATAAAAATGGTAAAAAGAACTACTTCCTTCTCCGAAAACAATTGGTTGTGATAATGTTAGAACATGAATGTTAGAAGGTGTGAATGTATTGTACGCTCGTCTATCTAGGCTATCAAAGTCTTTTGAGTAATCCATACCGCAGTAGCTACTAATATAATACATCGGCTGAAGGGATGAACGCAGGCAGCAAGATGAATGGACAGGCATGGATTTTATGGATTAAAATCATTTTTTATATCTTCGAGAATGAAAGCAAGTAGTACAAAAAGATTTGTCCAAAAAGGTTCACCATCGCCGTCGTCTTGGATATTATGGCTCAACGCTCGTCTAGCGCAGTAGTATCGATGAAGTGTAAAGCGAATTGAAACATAAGCTCCTAGGTAGAATTTGAAGAAGAAGAAGAAGAAGAAGAAGAAGGGAGGAAATAGACAAAGGAAATAGAATCCGTCAATGGAAAATTGGGAGTAATTCGTACATGGAGGGGTACAGTAATGACACAAGGAGATAGGCAGGCCGGGCTGCGGTGATCGTGATGGCTTCTCTAAGAAGCTAGGCATAGGAACCAAAAAGAAGAAAAGAAGAAGAAGGGCATTTTCCAAGGAGGCCTTTCTCAGACAGCTTGATTAAATTGCAAAACCCTGTTGCATGAGTCGCTCTACATCACCCCCGGCTGCGGCAACGGCCTTGATAGCAGCTTCGCTTAGTTTTCTCCGGCGTTCTAGGGCTTCTTTCTCACGTCTTGCTTTTGTCTTGGAGCTCCCACTGGGTGCAACACCTGTCATCAGCACTGTCCCATCATTTGGTGTGAAGTTGACAAATCCAATCTCCCCACTTCCGCTAGGTTCTCGAGAGCGCCTCTTGCGCACGCTGCATGGAGTTCCAGGCATACTCCCCGGCAAGCGGCAGGATGCACTCCGTACGGAGGAAATAGAGCCCCCGGAGCTATGCCGGCTCTGCGGATGAACAGGCGTGCGGGTTGGTGAGGCTGAAGGAGCTCGAGGCTTGCGGACGGGTGAGCAGGAGGGATGCCGCGCCCTAGATGTTGAAGCGTACCGGGCACCAGATGATGGTGCGCGAGGTGGCCGATGCGGGCGTTCGGTAGCAGGAACGGGGGGCGGAGGGGGTAGGTGTGTTTGCGGAGTCATTTTGAGTTCGCCAACCGAGTTCTGGGGTGGGCGTGTCTGTGGCATTTGAATCATGAGACCCGAAGTGCTCGTGTCCGGAAGAGATGCGTACTTGTATGGGAGCTCAGCTTGCTGAGCGTGCACAGCAAAGTTCATTTCGGCATTCTTTTGATGCATGTTTTGGGAATCCTGAAGGCCGGTGTAATCCCACCAGTTCGTGGAAGGATCTACCATCATCCCACCAGTATTCCACTGCTGCCCATTCATGGACGAAATTGACCCAGAGTGATGCTGTTGGTGATGATCCCAAGAGGAGTCGGTCGACCTAGCATTGCTTAAGTGGTATGGTGTGCCGTCCCCGTCAATAGATGGGGGGTCGATTGTTGTCGGACTGACACTCTCTTGGTATAAGTATCGCATATTCGACTGTGGTGGCATGGAGGGCATGTCGGCGAACGGATCATCACAAGATCCATGGATGAAGCTGTCGGGAACTCCTTGGCGGATGGGAGGAGAGATTGGCCCTGTTTTGACAGCGAGGTCAACTTGGCGAGGCCTGGTTCTGGGGGCATTTATTTGCATTTCGAACGTAGGAGATCCCGGCCTATCTGGCAGTGGCTTCCTGTTCTTGACTCGGTTCGTGGCTTTACGCAGAGTTGCGCCGACGGCTTGGATAAAACTATTTTGTTTCCGATTGGCGGTCCTGGGGGGTGTTGGCGATGGCGGCTGAGAGACCGACGTATTCGCATTCTTCTTCGTCGGGGAGCTGAGAGATATGCCTTCGAGTCGGGGTAGCTCCGTGTCAGACATGGAGTTGCGACCGACGAGTTCATGACCAGTTTCCCCTGGCAACTCACTCTCAGCAGCAGCAAAGTTGCCTGAGTTGACATTGTGAGTTGCGGAGGCAGGAGGTCCCACCTGAGAGCTATTGGAGAGAAAATCCAGTTCATCTGTTGTCGATGAGTCTATGCTCTCAGGAGGTTGATCTATCAGAAACGGGTCGGCAGTATTCCTTGGGACGGTTGAAGTCAAGGCGAAGGGCTCTGTAGATGTCGTAATGAACGAGAGGCCTTGCATGTCCAGGTTGTCCAGGTCGACATATTGCCCAAAGAGATCGTTGGTGTCATCTGTGGCACCGCCTTCGTTGTCCTGCCATGAGAAGTAATTCGGGTCGCGCTCGCCGCCCTCGATGCGATATGGCATACCCCAAGAGCCCATGTCGGGCGACTTCCAACCCTCAGAAGTCATTCAGTGGGCTGCCGACGCTGCAACTGCCTTGGATAGCTCAAGCCAGACGAGGTAGAACGGAGAGAGATTATTCTCTAAGCAGAGAAGGTTTCGTCAATGTCATGAGGGGAGCATTGCCTTTGGAGAACAAGGGAAACAAGCTCAGCTGAGGAGCAGGCAAGCGTCCGGCGGGTAATGAGGGTTTTCGAAAGCAGGCAGGCATCAACATGAAACCAAAACAATTCACGGCGAATTGAAGATTGCAGGAAATGTAGGTAGCGATAGCAACGGGTGGTGTTGATGGTCTTGGCCGGGGGTTTTGTGGAATGTCTGAAGCTGATAGAAGCAGCGGCGGCATTCCAGTCGGGCAAGCAACCCGGACAACCAGGCATTGGTTATGATGCACATACCTGACCCGCTCACATCTAGAGAAAAGTTAGATTGACCTGACTTTAATCAGCCCGAGAGCTGGTATAGCTGTCCCACGGCCGCCACATCCGCGAGTCGGGATGCACACTCAGGATTGGCCAGCCTCGTCTTGCCACAGCGCAGAGCCTTGACCAATCGATCCATAGTGCAAACCAAGGGAGCGATCATTATCCGCAGCGGACAAACGCAAAGGGTGCAAAGGGAAGGGATCTGAAGAGCTCGCTGCACTGATGGGGAAGTGCACGGATGGGATTTGCAGCCTCCCTCCTCGTCTTGGTGAGCGAATGAATTCAGTCGAGTTGAGTTGGGCCGTGGCGAAACACTGAATGAAGCCTTGCCTTGCCTTGGCTTCCTTCGCCTTTGGCCTGCTCGCTCCAAGTCCGGAGTGGTCTAGACGATTACCGTCTACATGCCCATCCCTCGTGCTACACATCCATGTGCATGCAGCGAGTAGCGGCCGGGCATTTGACAGATACGCCGACTCTCCCTTTGGGCGGGCCGTCGCGATCAGGGTGAACCAATAGGCACCTACTGTAGGGTCGATTCTGCCCGCCGTTTTGGCCATTGCGGGCAGCTTGCAGGACAGACGTTGGCGGCTAGAGACAGACCAGCGGGAATCAGAGCTCTCGAACCCTCTAGCCCGAGCCCTTGCATGAGGTCGGGAAGGTCCAAGAGGAGGGTCCAGTCCTCTGCCTGCCTCCGAGTGTCAGTGCATGGCGGCTTTCGGCAGGCGGCACACAGTAGTGCTCTAACTCGGCCACAGGCCACAGCACACCATAAGGCAAGTCCTGGGCTAATCATCCCGAGATTAAGGTTTGAGACGGCCTCCGCGTATCAGAGGGAAGGAGACAGCCTCTTAGAGTTCGTCCCTTCTCCGCAATTGGGCCGAACTCTAACAAGCAGTCCTGCCGTGACAGCTCCTCTAGCATCGGGCCTGTTTGCTGTCTATCCTAAGAAGCGGGTGAAGAAGGTTAGATGCTAGCACGTACCTGGGCAGGTTCGCAGGTTGATAGACATGTGCCTAGCGTGATTCGCCACGGCTTCTATATCTCCGGCACGTTTGCCTACCCATCTCGGGTAAGGTTAGCTAGGTATCTCGGTGGGAAGGCACTGGTCTCTCCCAGAGATGGGGAGGTAGGTAGGCCTCCATGTCTACTAGGTAGCCATTATGGAGTAGACCATCCGAGTCCCTGCACCTTAAGCTTCACTGGGGAACGGCCTGTAGATGGTCAAAGTGGCAAGCTGCCACCGTATATTATTAGTACAGTTAACTCAATCAACTCCGTGGTATGTAGGTATATCCTCCCAAAATCGCAAGCCCGAAGATAAACGCCTATATCCTGACTCCGGCCATGTAACCCGCAATGATTCCCAATAGCAAAATCCCAGACGCCGATAAAACACGTTCTTTAATGTCTCAATATGGACCCCTGGCCGATGTGTTCAAGCCCAGCATGAACGCTCGCTCGGCGGAGCACACACGGGTACTTGCATACCTTAGATTCCCTCCAAGCACAGCCAAGGGGTGTTGAAATGAACTCTGCTGGTGACTGTCCCCACGTCTAACCTCAATTGTGTTGCAACGCCTTTTTCGCCGGAAATAATCTCGCTCCATCTTTGACTTCGTCTCCAATTCATGAAAAATCAATAAGTCGTCATACTCCTGGGTGTTCCTCTCCCGCGCTCAGTCTAGACGCGTGATGATCGATGCCGATCCTCATGAGAGTATCTCGTGCGTCGGAAGACATAGCTACGGATGGTCCTGCGGCGTCGCTCGTTCTGGCTTGTCTGGCGGTTTGTGAAGATTCGGACAGTGCTCGATGTTGTCGCTTGTCAACCTTGTGTTTCCGCCTCCGCATACGTGGGATGTTGCGAATAGCATGGGGGCAGTTCAAGGCCGCCTCTTGGGAAGATCGGTAAGGAAGTCGCCCGCTTTTTCGGTGGTTGGATAATACAGAGAGCGCCTCATCGATCTCCTTCTGGGCCTTGTCAAAATAACCCTCGTCCGGGTCCACGAGCTTGTCATCTACTTCGATGGGAGAGTCGTCTACTTCCATGACCCGGTTAAGTATTTGGGCACTTGAGGGTTGGGTAACTGGTTCATTGTGAGACCCAGGTTGACATAAAGGTGTCTGTCCTAGGCTAGGAACTACATGATCCGATGCAATTCCCAAGTGAGTATTCGGGTGGCATGTCCAGTCGATGGCGACTGATGGTTGTATTAGGGTGGCTTGGCGACTGTCGATAATGGATGTTGAATCGCTGGCTACGCTACCAGGGTCGCCATCTTGGAGGATGAGTGTTGATAATGGTACGAGCGATTGGACAGATGGGCCTGACGAGCTGGTTTCGAGAGTCTGCCGCCCTAGACTGTAGGCTAACTTTTCGATATGTAGGTGAGTTTGGAGGTTTGCGCGGTGCCGTTTCCGCGTCCAGTTCGGTAAAGACGAGTCCCGTCGCCGTCTGGTGTTGCCCGTGTCCACGGGGATGTGCTGGGGCAGATGCTGGTCGGCTAGTGAAGACGAAGCCTGTTGGTCAACGTCGTCGTTGTGAAGTTCCATCGTCCTCTCGGGGGCATTCTCGAAGCGTCCATCCATGCGCTTTCCCAAGAACCGAGAACTTTCGACAGCAGGTGAAGCAACCAGATTGCCGGGCCATGGAGCGATGGGGATGGAGGAATTATTTAGACCGTCAGCTGGAGGATGATGTAGCCTGACTTTTGATGGCTGGCGCCGTTGCGGAGACTCTGGTTAGTTCGACTTTTTGTTTTACAGCCCAGCCAGCCGGCACCTCTACTAATCAGCCTCTGATCAGCAAGCCTGCGCAGACTACCTCCGTAGTGCCCAGGTAGGGATCGGAGTTGTCAATCGGTAAGAAGAAGCAGCTCGCGCTAGTTTAGAGGTGCGCATTGGCGTCGAGACTGGACCGGTGCTGGCGCTGGTGTGGGCAGTTAGTCCTCCTGTCCAGGCAAGGATTGCGTCGACTCTGCACGATACCCGACCCAGGCCGGCGTTGCAAGCTTGCGACAGTACAGACTGGGGATGACAAGCGCAATAGGGAGTGGACCCCGGGCCAGGTGCTCCTTTCACTATCGAATTTCGAGCCGGAGGCGTAGGGAGGCCATTGGGAGATGTGGACGGAACACGATGTTGGTTCTGGGCAGCGGGAGAGGACCAGGTCGAGACTCGTCCTGACGCACAGACAAGCAGGCAGCCAGACAAAGAGAGAACCGACACAGTGGACCGCTGACGACCGCGTGGTCTGCTGCAGGTGCAGTGCAACAGCAAGTACAATAAGCCGTAAGTCTGATGGCCAGTCAATGCAGCATCCTGGAAGATCGGAATGCTCTATCGGTGGGGATGGTTCCAACTAGCGCCTGCAAACAGGCTGGGCCCAAGCCGCTGAGGGGAGTCGCCAGGCTAAATCAGGACGCTATCGCCAGGGATCCAAGGGCCATTTTGCACCTGCTCCTTCAATCAGCCTGCTGAGGCTCCTGGACCCGAAACTCTTGAAGGATTCGCCCACAGGGCTCCCAAACCACCTCCGTCCTGCCCCAAGCGGAATCGCATGCCAATCAATTGGTCGGACTATAGATGGCTCATCTGCACATACTCTCCTCTCGCTGGCGATCGCAAGAAACGCTCGAGGGCGAGGTGTGTGTGCTCGAGCGACGCACGCCATTGCGTTCAGCTGTTGCAAGGGGCTTCGCTAGGGCGCCCGCGATCCAATGATGGTGCGCCCCAGAACGGCGCCGGCAGTATCTGGGGCTGGAAATTACAAGAGCGAGCTAGAGCAGAGATGGTCTGATATGCCGAAGGTGGGACGGGCATTGAATGAATCGCAGTCGGCCAAGGACATTGCATCCATCCAGGGGCACTCCGTATTGTTGCAGTCCCTGGTAGTTGGTACCGGCAGACAGGTTCAGTCTTATGAACGCACAGTCGCATACCGATGACCCGGGTCGCTGGTATTATTATGCACTTTTGGGTGCCATGCGCGCTGATCGGCCTCGCAGACAGACCCCCAATTGTGACCATTAATGCAATGTGCTCTGTCCAGGGACATTTCGACCAGAAGAGACTAGACGACAGAGGCGCGCCCACTTTGTCTCTGCTCCGAACCCCCTGTTCAAACTAGAGGGACCAAGAGCACGCCTACAACCGCTACTAGGCCATCATAGTTTACACGAATTCCACTCTCGGTACACGAGTTGCTGCCCAGTATCTTCCTCAGACGTCACTGTTATACAGTTATTGCTGCAGAATCCAAAGCAAGCATGGCGAAGGGGGCACTGTAATATGATTGGTAGCGTGAGAAAAAGAGCCACCTGCAGTAGCTTTCTGACCAGCACCAATCAATCATGTTCGGATGAGACACTGGCCGAGTAGGATCTGCAAACGCGAATCCCCACTATGTTTGAGGTCCCTGAAGTCTCTCTTTCGCGCGATGACTGGCCAGCTGGGTGGAAGCCTCAACCCTTAGCATCATCTATCCGGCAGCAAATCAACTCCAGATTCCGTATTGACGGCTCCCGTGGTCCCGCAGTAATGATCTGAGTTGGTTGCAAAGATAAGATTGCAGTCGATGCGGTGTGCACGCACGAGCCGCCTGGGACTGACTCGGGCTGTGTTGTTGGGCTGAGAGCTGACTCCACGTGGAATGCCAGAGCGCCATTCTGGAATACGGGCTGAGAACGCCAGAGTCCCGACTCTCTGGCCCAGCTCCGCTTTCAGGCGACAAAGCGAGCCCTCGCATGACCTATCTCATTCTTCTGTTGCGATGAAACGCTCGATGCCTTTTCCCAGCGGCCTGGACTGGAGGGGCGGCTCTCGCAGGGATCGCCGAGCGGCCAGAACCAAGATGCATGTGCCGCCACGGCTTACTTCTCCAAGCGGGTGACAAAAGACATTGCACACGCAAATTACAGGTGTTTTCAACTCACAATTCACCAGCTAGAATTTGTTAAAATAGTAAATAAAAACTATAAGCTAATTCTTAGAGGTCCAAATACTTAATTATTATCTTTGATAAGGGTGTATCGTATATTTATTGTCTGTTTATTAGGCTCTGAAGGCTCGGGGTTTAGTCAAAGGTGCGATCAAAGTACCGTTTGGTGTGCAATGTCTTCTGTCACCCGCTTGCTCTCGTAGCAATTGCTCCGATCATCTCACGCGTGCACATACGCCTGTTGACGTCCGTGCTATTTCAGCCTTGTCCCCCTTCCTCTGAGGAAGATGGATCCTGGTGCCAATCCTGGGCCGACCCGTCCTGTATGCCACGAGCACGACGTGGAATAAGGGACACCACTTCGCTAATAGAAAATCCATCTTAATGGATAGCAGATCAACTAGTGCACATATATGACGGTGAGGCCCGTGTCTCGCATACACGCGTGGAGCAGACTGCAGGTTGTCTTAAAGCTGCCATTTTCAATAGTTCAGGTGAGTCCCTAGGTAGAAAACAGAAGGTCTTTTCCTGAAGACTGAAGGCTTCGAGATTTGGCCCCCATCTTCCCGGCTCGGCAGTGCGAAAATAGTTGCCAGATACAACATCGGATCTCGTCAATCCAGTGGGCCATGGCAGACCAATGATTAAGCTTGTTCCAGCACACAGCTCGTCTTCTCAGAGCTTCAATCAGTCATGCATGTGTTTTCTCATTGGCTCCTACAAGGCTATTGGTGTAGATAGGTTCCCCGCGCTAACGGTTGCACCGGACGAACAGCAATTGCATTTGATTGAATCCTCTTCAGGGCCACGTTTTGAACCAAGCGCTGCTGGTCGTGGCTCGGATTGGCTGCCTTGAGAGCTTGAACGGGGCCCTGGCACCAACCAGAGTCTAAATGGAACGGACCTACGTAAGCCGTGTGAAGTAAACAAAGACGATGCAGCTGGGCGCTTAGAGGGAGCGATGAGTGCGCAACGTGTTGAGGCCTCCATGAGGCATGCGACTTTGAGTTGTCTACGCGCACCACAACACTATATCCATGACTATATCCATGAGAGTAAGTGGGCAAGCAGGCGGCTACAGCAGCGAGCAGGGAGAGAATCGTCAGTTTTATTCATAGAAGCCACGCGGGACTGGGCCTTAAGATCCGCCCTGCTCTAGGTTAGGTGTGATAGGAGCTGTAGTTGGTCTGTGGTTGCAGCAGATGGAGCCACTTGGACTACAACCCAAGCAAGCAGCCTGATTCCTTATGCGCCTTGAATTTTGCCTACCCGCCACCCTTGAAACATATTGGGCAACGTCTACCTCTCCTCACGACATCTCGGTGTGTACTGTCGTGAAGACATTTCCATCGTCTTGCTTCTCGTAGCCTTACTATACGTGGTTGCGGATCTGCGACTTCGATTCCCCCGCAATGTCTGGACAACAACCCCATTATCCTCGTGAGTCCTCGATGCCCATGTTGCCTACCTCTCTGGCAAGCTGATTGCAAGTATGACGGCTAACCGCAACTGTATAGCTCCTCCCGGCGCGCAAGGCCCAGGTTCGTTGTTCCCCATGGCTACAGAGATGAGCCCAATTGAAGATATCCACGACTGACCGAGCTTCGTTGGAAGCTTCACCTTCGGCGCAGCTACCCCAATATGCCCCTCCACCATCGCAAGCTTCCCCTGCGCAATCGACGCAATATTATCCTCCGCCTCCCTCCCAGTCCTCGCCCGGACATCCGACCAACTACCCACCGCCCCCGGGTGCTCAGCAATCGCCGTTGCCCGGGCAGGCGACGAGCTACCCTCCGCCGCCCTCACAAGCATCGCCGTTAGGTTCGGGTCAACAGTATCCTCCGCCACCATCCCAGAACACACCATCTCCGACGCTTCGATATTCCGGCCAGGCGCAATACCCACCCCCGCCCTCGGCTCCTCTGGCCCAGGCCCAGCCTTCGCCTCAGCAGCACTCTTCACAACCCGGTATGGCTTACCGTCCGTCCTCGACAACACCTTTTGCGTCGCCCCAAGGAGATGCCCCTCCACCATTCCCCAACGCGGACGCAGATTATCTCCCCGAAAAGAAACAGCAGGAGATCCAATCGCCACTGCAGCAGCAGCCGCCGCAGCAACAGATGGTTGCAAGTCCCATCAACCACACTGCTGGAGCTCCACCTGCGGGACAGTTCCTGGGCGCAGCAGCTACACACGATGATGTTGGAACATTCAACGGAGGAAGCTACCGAATCAGTCACCGTGATTCGAACACCATTCTTACTATTCAGTTGGCAATGGGCTGCCCACTTGAGGGCAAGCCGGGTAGGTTTCCCCAAATTCCTCTATTCACTCTGCTGTGTATGGTGGACCGGGTCTGAACTTGTTGAATTCTAGGTGCTATGATTGCCATGTCACCAACCGTCACACTCAAGGGTGCTGTAAAATTCAGTGTAAAGAAGATGATTGCTGGTGGTGAGCTGGGATCCTCGACCTTTATCGGCCCCGGCGAAGTCCTGTTGGCACCTTGGATGCTTGGCGATATTACGAGTATCCGCCTGAACGGAAACGAGCATTGGTCCGTAGGGCATGACGCTTACTTGGCTTCGACCCAGGGTGTCATCAAGGACTACAAGCGCCAGGGTCTCGGAAAGGCCATGTTCAGCGGCGAGGGGCTTTGGGTGTACAAGATCAGCGGGAAGGGCCTCTTGTGGGTTACTAGTTTTGGCGCCATCATCCGTAAAGACGTGAGTATTTCCTCAGAACCGCGGTCCGGACGGTTTGGCTGACGCTCATTGGGTAGCTTGTGGAAGGTGAGAAGTACATTGTTGACAACGGCCACCTCATTGCTTGGAACGTCAAGTACGTAATGGAGAGAATTGCCTCTGGTGGTATCATCTCCGGCATTGCCTCTGGCGAAGGCCTTGTCTGCAAGTTCACTGGCCCGGGTACTGTATACATCCAGACAAGAAACGCGGTACGTGCTGGTTCTTATGTGTTGATGTCACTCTTGGACTCGAACTGATATCTTCCACAGAAAGCATTCGGAACCTACATGTCTGGCCAGGCTTACCAAGGGTAGTTTCGATCGGCGGGTGCGGGCGAGAATGATTGGGAGCTATTTGATTGAGAACCATGAAATGACGAGCGGCAAGATTGATGAAGTGCATTGGGCGCCTGGCTTTCGATTGTACTGTACTTGTTCTAAGCGAGATATTCTATCCAAAACTTTACTTGAGGCCCTACCGGAGGAATCCCTATGCAGACTTCATGCGCTGAAGCTAAACAGGCCACTTTCAATAGGGCAATGTGCAGCAAGTACTGATTCTGCCCACAACTTAGTAGGTGATTTGGCAGTGCTGCGCTTTCCCCGTAAGGAAACCACCCAGCAACCAGCTCGAGGGCGTTTCCTGCTGCCTAAAGCCACCGCTTCAGATCATTCTCACCTCGTTCTCACCCTGACTCCAGCAAATCCAGTACGCTGAGAATGGGCTTTTGGGTACCAGAGCACCTTCTGCATATAAATACCGGCCCCCCATTCTTCCCTTCCTACTCACCCACCGACACATCTTCACCTCCTCAAGATCTTCTTGAAGGGTTGCCACAACAAGCTCTTTGGCTTCGTCGTCAGCTATCTTGTGTTTTCATCATCGTTCCGCCTCCCTTTTTGGAACCTTACTGCTCGACTATCGTGCTACCATTTACGGCCAAAGAAAAAAGCGCCCTCCCGACAGAATTAGGACGACTTCTTTGCCCAATTCATGCCATCATAGCCGTCATTATCCTACATGCCCGGCCCTTCTACCATTAGCGCCACCGCGTGTTGTTTTCTGGCTGCTCTGGACTTTTGCTGATCGGCCTGCTTTCGTCCCAACATCGAAACGAAAGGCCTCATCTCATTTCCCTTTCTTCTCTCGACATTTCTGACCCAGCGATTGAACTCAATCCTACGCACCGTCGGGTTGTAGTTCGAGAATGTTCTTTTCTTCAGCAAGTTTCTAGAAATCAGCTTCTTCATTGTTTCTGAACTGTGACTTCATTGGAATACTCTTTTGATACGACATCTGTGAATTCGGTGTCAGCGCTCTTGCTAGGTAGAGCTGCCTCTATGTCAAGACAATGTCTAGCACTGTAATTAACATGTCGTCAGTTGTGGCTAGGCTCGGCCCTAGCTTTTATTTGCATTGCTCGGCATATTATCGATCAACACGAGGAAGACATCTGAGAAACCCTCGCTATCAAGTAAGGAAAGAGAACCTACACCATTGAAAGTGGTCTAACTCCAAGTCTAGTGGGCTCCGTTACTGGAAGGGCGAGGCCTTTCAGGCTCAGACGTCCCGTGCAGACAAGTTCTAGCGACGATCAGAATTCCCACCATGGACTGTTGCCGCCCCGGATCGGTCTTGAGGCTGTAGGAGGAGCCGAAAACGATGAGCGTTCCTCAGTGTCCAAGTTTTTCGAGGCTATGAACAACCCAGACTGGCGCCAACGTGGTAGTCAGACCGGATCTGATGAGTCGAGTTACCCGGACTTGGCTGCTAAGAAGGCCCCACGAAGAGAAGGGCTGGTAAAGCGTGACAGTGCTGAGAACCGAATGCAACTTTTCCCTTCTGACGCAAGCTTTCTGAATACCCTAAATGCTGATCCCTCTCAACCACGACCTCGAAACTGGCATCCATCATCTACCGGAACAGAAGACGGAACCAATAGCAACGAGATGGGAGATAGGGCCCTGGGTGCGATCAAGTCGAACCAGGCGATTGATAATGGAGGCAAAGAATGGGGGATGAGTATCATCGAGATTGTTCCTTTTTGTGGTGGTGGTGGTCAGCCTGCGACCCAAGGTCGTTCTAATGCTACTTACTCAACAGCCTCCAACATGAATAATGTTGTGGAGATTCGCCATATGGGAACGCATAAAGCTCGAAAGGATATCAGCTTTCCATTTGTGGGCCAAGATCAACATGAACAACTTGCTGCGGCCCTCAGAGGGGCCGGAGAGACGCCAAAGAAAATGAAAAGGCCCGAAACATTCAGCTCCATTTACGAAGACTCGACCGCCGAAAACACGACCAGATCATCGTCGGTTGAGATAATCCTCTCCGGAAGCCCTACTACAAACACCAACCTGCTGAAGCAAAAACCAAGTCTTTCGGCTTCACGTGAGTCAGAGAATAAAGTGAGCCTTCTGAGCCACGAGCGAGGCAGACACATCGAACGAGGTCTTGCCAATGATGGAGCTAGCGATGCCTTTGGTAGAATGCTTCAACGCTTGCACAAAAATATGAACAAGGGCCAAACATCTCAAGGCATCGAAATGAAAGACTTTCAGCCCGAAAAGAGCAGCAAATGGGTGGGAGTTGGAGGATCCGGGATGGGCGAAAATACTTCCTCGGATTCGGGATATGCCAGCATGCCTTAGAATGGCCACCTGAGTTCTCGTACGAGGGGAGATAGCAGTTCTTCCTCAGGGTCTATCTTCAATCCAAGAGCCAGAGAATTTTTCTCCCTCGTTGCTGGGACTTCAGCAGACGCTGAGAGCATCCAACCCAAGAAGCCTGTGCGTCCTGATCTCCAAGGATATTTTAATCCCAGTCCCATTGTGCCGCCGTTGGAGACGGTACACAACAAGGGCTACGGTCAAGACAACCTTTCTCTGCCTATCCAAAGCGGACTTCCCTTCGCCATGTTTGACCCTGGAGCCACATTGGGGGACATGCCACTTCCTACCTTGCATTCTCAATTTCCTGAGCAGCCTATGGCGAAGCCCATTCCCCAATTGTACACCAATCCTGCTATGACATGGAGCACCCCGAACTTAGCACCGGCCCAGCATGTTGGCCCAATGCCAGTCGGTATGTCGAATGGGGCCTGGTCCGGCACACTGCCGGTGCCTCCAATGTTTCCGGGCATGATGCCTGCGCTTGCAGGACCACCAATGGAGCCCATGCATCCTACTCTCGGATCTACAACATCGTTCCAGAAGTCAGTGACCATGCACCCGATGAACCCCCCTCAAGGATCTCAGTTTCCTGCCAATGCCCCTGCTCAGAGACACCCAGTGCCGAAGCCCCGGGTGCCTGACCCTGGTAACCAGCAGGCGTACGAAGCATGGATTGAATGGCGCAAGGCAAACGAGCCTGGCTATGCTATAGAGTGCAAGCTCAGACAGCAACGTCGTGCCCAGAGGAACATGGGAAGCAAGCCCCATGCACAGGCTTCTCGAAGCCTGGAAGTGAAATCAACCGCTTAACGAGAAGAATGGTTCTATCGGCCCAAGAACCGCCCAGTGTATGTGTCAAAGCTCATATACACTCCCCTTTTGTTTTATATTCGGAATATGGAAGTCTAGCAATTATGAGAAATTTGAGTTCGGTCTGTTTTCTCTTTTATTGTTTGAGGCGGATGGTTTTTTAATAAGACGAAGAGCGGTGAGAAAGCGAACGCAACAAGATCAAAACTTGAGACGACGGTATGGCAGTAGGGCATCATGGCAATACTAGTAGTTTAGGACATGATTAATCGAATGTAAGATACTCAAGGATAACCCATTAGCTTCAGACAAAAACAAATTGTATATCTTAGATTACCTTATCGCTTTTCTGTCCTCGGTATAAACTGCGCTTTCATACGACCCATGCAAAGGCAGAGAGACGGGATGAACAAAGTTGGATGGCTCACGCATAAGACAACGAACGTATTGCTTATTTAGCAGTGGATTAAAATCAATAAACAAAGTCTGGGAGTCATATCGAATAATAGACTCATTGTCCATGAAAACCAACTACACATCATAAATCCCAAGGGTTAAGTTTGAGAAATCCCGACTCCTATGCTAGTACATGAAGATGGCATCCTTATTTTTTTCTGAATTTGAAGACCCTTCTCCGCCAAAAACCCAAAAACCAGCCAGATTCCCGAAACAAAGCACCCGTGCGAACATTTCATTGATAAAGGAGTGTCAATAGTGAGAAAACGAAGAACCAAACATGAACTTAACAGAAAAAAAGCCAAAAAAAAAAGGGGGAAGAAGAAGGAAGCCAAAAAGAAGGAAGCCAAAAAGAAGGAAGTCAAAAAGAAGGAAGCCAAAAAGAAGAAACCAAAAAGGGAGGAAGAAGAAGTCAAAAGAAAGGGGAAGTAAGAACGAGTGACCGGGAGGAAAGAAGGCAGTAGTAGAGAAGAAAAACGCAGATTGACATCAAGGAAAAGTAAAAGAGAGTGAACCCAAGAATGGGGAGTGTAAGAAGGGGGAGAAGCCCCTCCGACTAGATCGAACAAGGCATGGAAGTGCAGGTGTTCCCACGAAGATTGAAGCTTGCTTGCGCTTCTTCTACTCCTCGGGCTGGGCCTTGTTCCTGCCAAAGCAGACCTCCCACTGGTCGTCGACGCGCTCGATGACTCCAATCTCGGGGAGCGAGGCCCACTCGACGAGGGTGCGGTCGTCGTCGCCGCCGATGACGATGTCGTCGGCCTCGCCGGTGGCGGCCATCTCCATGTGGCGGGCGATGTGCTCCATGCGCTGGTCCCAGGCGTCGTCGCCCTGGAAGGAGAGGTTGCAGTCCGGGTTCGGGCACTCCATGTACGTGGGCGTCAGGCAGCGGACGTGCCACGACTGCTCGAGCAGGGCCTTGATCATGCACTCCCACTCCTCGCGGGTCTGGCCCTTGGTGGTCGGGTGGCCGTGCGAGCGGCGGACGTGACAGTCGTAGAGGTCCTTGCGGTTGAACTGCTTGCCCTGGAGGCCGTCCATGTACTTGGCGTGTTTTTCGTTGTCACTGGCGCAGGCTCCGTAGGAGCACAGGTTTACTTTGTCGATGACGTGCTGGTGGAGGACGTGGCGCTTCCACTCGTTCTTGGAGGTGAATCTGCTATTGCACCCGGCGAACTCGAAGACGCAGAAGAAGGGGCGGGCGTGGACCAGCTTGATGTGCTTGTCGAAGGTGGTGTGGTCCTCGCACGAGAACTGGCAGTGCTCGCACTGCCAGTCGCTCCGCTGGCGGGGGATGGCGGCGGTGAACTTGGTGTTGGCCATGTTGCTGGCAGTGTTGGCCTTCAGCCTAGCCTTTACTGTCGACTTCTGATGAGGCTTCAGGACCCTGTTAGGGCCCGAGGTCTTTGGCGATTGCTTCTTGAGCTTGACCTTGCCCTTGCCGGTGTTCTTGGGCTTCGATGGACCACCGACCGCGGTTTGTGACACTGTGAAGGAGGGATTCGGGAGGGAAGACGGCTGCATTGGCGGGGACATGAGGAAGACGGGTTGTATTGTTTCGACAGCTTTGGCTGGGAGGCTCTGCTCCTTCAGGGGCAAAGGGGTGTTGGCATTTGGTCCCAGGCCAAGCGTGGACGATGGGAACTGGTTGTTCATCTGGACATGGATAGTACTGCCCACTGCCTCTCGAGTGTCTTCTGCGATGCTGAGACCCATGAGGGCCGCTCGAGGAGTGGAACTCTCCTCCTCGCTGAAGGCTCCCGGCGCGGAGGTCAGGAGAGCAGAGTCAAGTGGAGTGAGAGGGCGCTGAGGCTCCCCATACTGCTGGATATGGCCCCGTGTGACGGGACGGGAACTGCTTGGTGGAAGTGAGGGTAGTCGAAGGGAGCCGGGCGTGGAGGATCGGTCATTGGGCTCGAGTGTTGGTGTAGCAGGGTAACTGATCGTTCCCATGGAGGGGGTTTCAGGCCAATGAGTCGGGTTCATCTCCCAAAAGCGGCGTGTGTCATCGTCCTCGAGGAATCTTTGGATTGTAGCTTGTTCATAGGAGGCCAGACTTCCGTCTCCCCCTAGAGTTGGGTCAAGAGAGGACAAGTCATGGAGGTGATAGAAAGGGTCGTGGTGAGAACCCTCGTTGTCACCATAACTGTTGAAGTCCATGGTAGCAAGAAAGGAAGAGATATGAAATCAATCGGTTGGATTGTAGGGAAAAAAGAATCCGAGTAGGGCGATGGCTTCTGGCAAGGGGGGCTCTTGTCTGGGATGTATGCTTGAAATCTCAATCTTGTGTAATAAAGGTCATCCGTTGTACTGGATCTAGAGACCGTTGCTTGTCTGAGAAGGGCAGGTAGCACTAAGATGGGGAAGACTAGAGTGTGTAGGTGGGAGATGCCTGTCGAAGAGCCCGAGGGGCAGAGCAAAGGAGGCAGGGCAAGTTATATATCTTTTCGCAGACGAGGAGAACGTATGTATGGTATAGGAAATGGAGACTTAAGGGGAATAGGTCAAGAAACTGATGATTGAAACCTGGACCGGGCACTGGACGACTCCCAGGGTGCCAGCAAAAGCTCCCATACCTTCTATCTCACTCGAGGCCTACTCTAGGCCCACCGCAGAGCCTCACGGTACAACAAGTTTAACTAACTCCGCGGGCATTTGGAAGTCACTCGAGCCAGCAACTACTTAATTCTCACTCTTAGATGCACACCTGAGGGTATGAAAACATCCCTGGGCATACATACAGCATACAGCTGTCCTAGCTAGCTGAATTTAGTGACCGGGTGGTTTCTCAGATTGCCGGTTCATGGACCAGGATCTCTCACCCTGGGAGCTGCTGACCCTTTCCTTCTTGGCATTTGACAATAGCGAATGGTTCGCGAACCAAGGCCGAGTCTTCACTGCGGGTAGTGCACTCGCTATGCCATGCTTGTGACACAGCGAATGGGCCTTCAGCCCCCCCCAAGCCCATGTTCGTACTCATGTTTGTATCTTCTTGCCCCAGAAAATTCCACGTTGGAACAATTTTCTTATTTTCTAGACCTACTTCTTGCCGCCAGACTAGCAAGGGGCTCAGGTCTGTGGTGGAGTGGAGGGGGGGAGGTGAGATGTGCGTCAGAGCAAACCCAGCGACGATAATTATAATTCTCTGTGATAATAATAGAACGAGCATCACTGGTAGAGTCTGTCTTTCATCAGAACTAGGGAAGGAAAAAGCGTAGGGCAAAGTAGAGGAATGAAAATTCGGAAACGAGAACCGACAGAACCATCAGGGATGGTGCCTGTGAGAGGAGGTGGCCTGACTGGGAGTTGGAAGGCGATCAGGCCTAGAATCGGACTCACTGTTGGATTTCTGTCGAGTGGTTTGGGCAAGAATGTGACTTTGTCGCGGGTGTAAGTACCCAAGCATCATGCTCACCAAACGAGAGTGGCCAATAGGAGACAAGAAAAGTTGAAGTGACCAATAGGGGACAAGATAAATAGGCCCGGCGACTAACTTATGCAGGCCAAGAAGATAGAGAGGTACATGAGGACGTAGAGGGACTAGAACAGGAACATCGTGCTGGAATGCTGGGGGCATGGCGCTATCGTCATCTGCAAGGTATGAAGATGGACAGACAGGTTTGCTGGAGACGATGCAGGTGGAGGAGGGGTGAGTGGAGATGATCGCCTGGTCGGCGCCTCGCCTACAATGTCTCTGCTCTTTCCTGGGAGGTGGGATTACTGCTGGCTGGTACGTGTTTTATTTTGAGGTACGTTCTTAGGCATGAGGGTAAGTTGGCAGTATGTAGGTAAGTCTCATCACGGAGGGACCGACAGTCACTGCGACGGTAGCGACTGCAACCAGTCCGTACCCAACCAAGAGACAGGCAGGCCAGGCGTTGATGCCTCTATTCCACTCCCACTTCAACGCAGAGACACTGGCTTATCGGTCATCAACGCGGTAAGATGCGTTCTGTCAATCTGAGCTGGATCTGTCCCGTTGCACCGCTGGTCTAGCGTGTATGCAAGCCACATCGGCGACCTGAATCTCCTTCAGGTAAGGACTACACGATACGGAGCGGCAGGCCTGGTACGTAATCTCTCTGCCATGATCCAGAAGCTGTTGGTTAAGGTTGTCCGATGCCACCTCTGGAGAGGGGCCAGGGCGGAAGCTCATTCGCCCGGCCAGTCCCCCACGTGGTGTTAGCCGCCAGCCGCCGCCTCCAGGGGGTTTTCATTACCTACTTCTTACGCAGGAAGAGACGCCAAGTCCCGGATACGGCGAGAACGAGTGCGGTGGTGGCAGGCCACAGGCGACAGAAGCGGTATGCTTAGAGTATCTCAGGTAGTTGACCTTACCTTAGATTAGGGTGCCGCTGGGGCTGAGCGTGCCGTGCACTAGGGCCTGGAGGGGGCCTGGAAGGGGCCCTACTAGACCGCTAAGCAAGCACTGGCCACAGAAGGTAATCCGCGGATCGTCGTCGGGACACGCCGTACCCGCGGCCAAGGCCACAGCCAATCACGCTGCCGGATATGGCTGCTCCGGGCCCGCTTTAATCGGACGGGGACTTTGGATCAAGCTTCTCCGTCGCGTCACTGCGATTTGACAAGTTTTGCTTTTTCCCAACTCAACTGCTTCGCCCGTTACAGCCATGTGTGAATATCTACACTCGGTGGCTTCCATAGTCTCCACCCGCTAGCGCACCGGCTGAGCGAGAGTCTGGTTATCAAGTCACCAAACTTTCCGACAGGCGCACCAGTTGCAGGGCGCACCGCTGTGTCGAGATGCGGTCTGCTCTGAGCAACCCGACCGACGTTGACGTGCGCACACCAAATCGAGATTGGACTGCAGGCGTTAATTTAACAACCCAGCTTGCGTCACGTCGAATCTGCATGGCGTCCTCTGCCTCGTAGGGGTCTGCACGTCCTCGATGCTGGCTTGCCTCCATCGATCGTCCTGCTCGCCTGCGCCCGAGGTGTGGCAGCGCAATTTAACAGCCATTCTGCCTGGAGACAGAACCACCTGCTGGCTGCTGCATGTGGCCATATTACCAAAATCCCCATCCTCTCACTTGCAGATGCCGGATTCCCAGCGATGTGGCTAGCCCAAGCCAGGTCAGGGGTTCCCAGAGAGCTTCTTCCAGGGATACAAGACCCATTCTTCAAGCACCAGGGACGATGAGAGAGGTGCATCTTCCGAGCAGTCAAATGCCAAACCAGTTCTGTCTGATGACTGCCGTGCATGAAATGGAGCAAGATGATGATCGCTGGGTACGTGCTTTCGTTGCGCTCCCCCCCCTTTCCCATTCCCAGTCTTGCCAGTCCCCGCCACTCTTTTGCATTATGCTGTTGGTTGTTCAGGTTGTCTTACCGTTCACACCTACTAGGTACCGACCTTCCCAAAGGCCACCTGGACCAGGAAGTGGGCTTTGAGGCAGTCTGCATGAGGCGGTTTCCCGCTCTTCCCCCCTTTCCCTTCTTCTCTGACATTAAGAAAAGGAAAAGGAGAAAAAAGCAAGGTGCACTCTTTCCCACATTATTGACTTGTTGTACAACCCGACGGCCCCCCTTGGCCCTTGGGATGACCCACGCCTCCCGATACCCACCCCGACACCCCGGCCAGGCGGTTAGTTTTGCCCCGCAAGGACTCAAATCGGGGCTAGAAGGCTTGGGTTCATGTGAACTTATCATGGTGTGCCTATTCGGAACCCTCAAGCACGATTTTGCGGGCTTTGATCTCGCGCCTGGGGTGTGGGCTGGACGGCTGGCTCAGCTCCAGGAAGATCCCGCCTGGAAACAGCCAGGAACTGCATCCGCGGTCTCACCGGCCGACGCACGACCAGACGGCAGCATCGATTAACACCGGCGGCTGACTTTAGGAGCCGGCTAGTGTATACAGGAAATGCTGTTCACGGGGACCGCGCTAGATCCTGGGACATAGCTGCCCACCAAACGACGGCACGGGGAAGGGCCGCGCAGTGTAGTACCATCGTGTATGTACGTGTGTGTGCGTGCGTGCCACCAGAACGTCATGGCATATGCACCGTGCGGCATCCGTCAAAAAGCCAAGCCCGCCATACCAGAAACCACTCCCCAGCGCGAGCGCAAGAGAAGATCATATCTCTCACCCGCCCCCCTTCTTCCTTGATCGGCTCATGGTGTGAATCCACAACTGAATCGTGAGACGTGCGGGGACCGCACTGGCCAAGCTCGCTTGATAGCAACATCGGTTCCGGCATTTTGGTATACCTCCCGCATTGCATGAAAAGCAAAACGCACTACATACGCAATATTTTCAGCAGCCATCCTTAGTCCCATGCGCCCTCGCCTACGAAGTTGCTATCACCGACGCCCGACTGAGCCAGAGAGCCAAAATGATATGTGACTGGCTTTCACTATTGGGTTGTTCCTCCCCTCCCCCCTCTTCTCTAGCCGCCCTCGAACGCCTCAACACCCTTTCTCCTTCAGCCATTGTTTTCGCATCTAGCCCTGGACCAGGACTGAGTGAGAGAAGATTGGGGCGGGGTGAGACACTCTGCTTCAGTGGCTGCCTGGGCCTGGCCCATTCCCGCTCTCGAGATGCGAGTTCACATGCCTATTCCTGCCACCTGCGTCTAATGATATTCTCTCAGCCAACGCCACGCGCAATCCCCCCTATGGATCCTTCAGCCCCCAAGACTCGCTTTCCACTCCAATACTAGGTTAGGTTGTCTCTCTTTCTGACCGACGTGGGCTCCACGCCAGGCGACAAAGTAGAGAATGGGGAAAAGATGGCTTGTCCTGGGCGGCTACGAGCTGATGGGCAAGCCAGGCAGTCAGGTCCTGGGCGACTACCCGGCCCAGGTTTTGCGGGTACTCCCCCAAAAAAACAGCTGTGTCATAACACAGTTGTGTCCAGACATTACCCCCCGCCCAAGACATGCATGAAATAAATGGGTGACCTGGCTTATTGGAGTCCGCCCGCAGTGCATGGGCTCATTTCAGGCGGCCGCAGGGCAAGAAAGGAGAATTGAGATGGTATCATCGAGGACTGACCCGAGTCACTTGCAATCTTTTGGCACAGGGATAGTTGGTAAATTGACTGTTGATCATTCCGGACAGGGATTCGTAAGCCAGCAAGAGTAAATAGGTAGATAGATATCCTAAGTAAAATGAGGGGAGAGTTCTGAAAAACCCCTCTCCCGGTAACAAAGATCTGATAGATAGTAAAATTCCCAAAAACGCCTTCCATCGCTTTTGACCTGCTTTCCGCGCATCATCGTCGTCATCATGATTTTCATAAATATATCGGTTATATAGGTTTTGAGCTGATGCCCGTCATTAACGTATGACCACTTCCCCAAGCGAGCTGCACCGGTATCCAAAATCCACCCCCCTTAACCAAAAACGAGGAAAAACAACAAGGAGATAGAGTAAGAATGGAGATAGTCCAAGATCGTTCATTAAATGTACCATCATTCGCGTAAGAGGGAAAAAAATGTAAGAAATGGAAAAGGAAAAATGTCTCAAACGCTAGTATGTGGCTGTTTGGACGGGCGTGCGTCGGATGCCGCACTCAGCTTTCTCTTCCGCAAGTTGCCTTCCTTGCCCGAGGCACGCTTGGCCGGCGCCTTGCGTTCGGCGTGCGCAATCTCCATGTGCAGCCACTCCGAAATGTTCATCTTGGGCTGATCGCGGCGGCCCATGAAGTGGTCGTCGATGTGATCGAACCGGACACCCTGAGGGTCGGTCGTGTCGCTGGCAAAGGGGACCATGCCGCGGCAGAAGCCGCACCAGAACGAGGACATGGAGTGCATGTTCTGCCTGTTGTCCTCGAGCTTCGCCTCCTTGGTGGGGGGGCTCATCTCATGGTGGGAGCCGTCCAAGTGCAGCTTGAACTGGTCGCGGCTGCCGAATACCTTTCCGCAGCTCCTGTCACACGCCCACGTCTCGAGCGGGGTGTGTTGCTGGCCTTCGTGCCTTTTCCAGTCGTTTTTGCTGCCGAATGTCTTCTCACATTGATAGACTGTACACCCGTAGGGCTTTTCATGCCGCTTGTTGTGTTTTCTGTGCCACGTTAGCAATGTGATCCCAAGGTCCCGAAGATGCATGCTGATGGTACATACCTGAGCTCGCATGGCCTGACGAACACCTTCCCGCAGAGGTTGCACTCCACTTTGCCCTTAATGCTGGCGGAGGATTGAGAGGCATCCGTTTCGGGAGCCTCTTCCCTTTGCCGCAATGCCGCTTGCAACATCGTTGCGGGCACCGAAGCAAGGAATTCGAGCTTCTTGTTCTGCGGCAAGCTATTGAAGTATTCCTCAAACTTGTCCTCGTTGATTTCAATTGCCATCTTCTCATTTTCATCGTCGTCATCGAGGGCAACGAACTGCTCTTCCTCTGCGACGCTCTCTGATGAGACGGACGCTTGGGAGCCGAGGTTGGCCTCGTATGCCGACTCGGAAGGCTCGATCTTGGCACCGGTGCTCATCATTGAGCTGGGGGTGATTGAGCGCGCAAAGGTTTCTGCAGAAGGATGAGAGCCAAAGGCGGCCGGGTTCATGTGGCTGCCAAATGAGTCATCTTGTGGCACCTCGAGGAACCCGTTCCCAGAGTATGGGTTGACCCCGTCGAGCGAGGCATCGGGAGTGTAAAGCGGTGTCTCGGAGACTGCTGGGTAAGGGGTTGTGTTCGCAAACTCGACAATTTCTTCAGCCCTAGTATGTGGTGCAGCGGCGAATAATGATTCAGTGTGGAGAGTCGACGGCTCGTGTAACTTGGCTCCCAAGCCTTGTAGATCATCGGGAATGGGTCTTTGATGAGGAGTGTCAGCACCATTACTTGGGTTGCAAGTGTTACTTGGGACACACATACTCATATAGATAACGCTGCAAGTCCATGTCGCCAACCTGCTCCATCTTGTGGACCCTCTTCAGATGCGAACGGAAGTTATCGGTTCTGGGCCATTTCTTCAGAGGGGTCTCCT